CGACTAACCCATGTATTTTAATCATTGAAAATCATTGCTCTCATTCGAGTTAGATGATAATTGATTAAGAACTTAATGAGTCGCATCTTAAATTTATCAGCAACGTGTATATATACACACACATATATTTCTTACCCTTGAAAAACTAATCAGTCCTAGGAAAAATTGAAAAAAGAAGTAGGGATAAGTCTAAGTTTTTGAGTCATTTTGTCAGTTTCAGAATAGGGGATGAATTTGTNAAAAAAGAAGTAGGGATAAGTCTAAGTTTTTGAGTCATTTTGTCAGTTTCAGAATAGGGGATGAATTTGTGCCGGGTTGTTAGTATAAGCTTGAAATTGATTGGTAATGGACAATCTGCCCAAGCTTCCTAGACGAGGGGTGTCATGGGTTCGATGCCCGCCCGGCCCACAAAATTTAGCCCAATTCTTGGTTCAGTCTGAAAATTGGCCTGCCTGGCCAAGCTTAAGTAATCATGCCGCTATTATACTCCGGCCTGTAGACATGCATGAAGCCGCTCAGCCCGATACAACCCGCTCTCAAACCCATCTTTTATTTATTTATTTATTTAATTTTTTGGGAGGGGAAGGGGGGGGGGGGGNCCCACCCAGTACACAGTAACACTACATGGTCTGGCCTAACTGCATCACTATATGGGCTGGGCCCTCCCAATACTCTATCCCAACCTAAATATTTTGTCGGGCTGGAGTCCAGTCCCTGGATACCATTAGCAGAGAAAACTATAAATTTAAGGATGAAAAAGCTATCGCTATATGGGCTTGGACCTGCCCATACCTATCCGAACATAAAATATTTTGTCGGGCTGTGTCCAGCCCTGTCTGGCCCGGGACACAAGCAAACTACAAATTTCAAAATGAAATAGCTATCGAAAATTTAAATTTTAGAAATAAAAATAGCTCTTAAATCATGATGATGTCATCCAAGTAAATGCTTTGTTTCTAATCGTCTCGTTTTAGACGTATTATAAATGAATTAAATATTAAATTATATTATTTTTTATTTAATCGGACCTAATACTTTATTTGATAAATAAATTTAATGTCATATTAATTTTAAAAATATATATTAATTATATATTTATCATATGTTTTGTGTACAAGAGACTTGTATGAGGAGGTATTTTAATACGACCAATAGATGTGATATTATAATCCAATTCATACGTATTATTCTACATATTTTTTATTATAACTCTCAACTGATAAAATCAAGTTGCTATCAATGTAATAAACACTAATTGATGATATTTTTGTAAATTCAACATTAATACAATGAAATAATCTCTAACCAAACAACTGATTAGATTAAATAACTATTATCCAACGTTTATTTTATGTATTATTAAATATTAGATAAAATTAAATATTATTTTAATATCCTATTTAATTTTTTCTTTTGTCTATATATATTGTATTAGATAGAATTACTTTATCTAATCCATTTATTTCTAATACGACAATTAAACAACCCCAATACGTAAACCCTCGGAAGAAGTTGGCCCGGAATTCTCGCTTGGATCCTGAAGGCCTGGAAATCTTGGTGGAGAGCACGTGAGCACAGCATTTTTTTTGGCCTATTGCACGTGATTGGCTCGTTTGGGCTGACCTTTTTCTTCCATTATGCCCACATTAAAGGGTTGTCTGGTTCATGCGTGTGTGCTGGATCTGTTAGTAAAATGGAGAAAAAAAAATAGCTTTGGAAGTCTCACATAATCCATATTTAGTTCATTTTTTGGGTCATTCATTTGTTGGCGCTTTCTGTGCTATTTTTAATTAATGTTAACTCGCATTTGAAGACACGGTGAAATATAAATGATTTTGAAAAAGATATTAGAGATTATTAAATAAGTTTATTTAAANAGACTTGTATGAGGAGGTATTTTAATACGACCAATAGATGTGATATTATAATCCAACTCATACGTATTATTCTTCATATTTATTATTATAACCCTCAACTGATAAAATCAAGTTGCTATCAATGTAATAAACACTAATTGAAGATATTTTTGTAAATTCAACATTAATACAATGAAATAATCTCTAACCAAACAATTGATTAGATTAAATAACTATTATTCAACGTTTATTTTATGTATTATTAAACATTAGATAAAATTAAATATTATTTTAATATCCTATTTAATTTTTTCTTTTGTCTATATATATTGTATTAGATTGAATTACTTTATCTAATCCATTTATTTCTAATATGACAATTAAACAACCCCAATACGTAAACCCTCGGAAGAAGTTGGCCCGGCNAGATTGAATTACTTTATCTAATCCATTTATTTCTAATATGACAATTAAACAACCCCAATACGTAAACCCTCGGAAGAAGTTGGCCCGGAATTCTCGCTTGGATCCTGAAGGCCTGGAAATCTTGGTGGAGAGCACGTGAGCACAGCATTTTTTTTGGCCTATTGCACGTGATTGGCTCGTTTGGGCTGACCTTTTTCTTCCATTATGCCCACATTAAAGGGTTGTCTGGTTCATGCGTGTGTGCTGGATCAGTTAGTAAAATGGAGAAAAAAAATAGCTTTGGAAGTCTCACATAATCCATATTTAGTTCATTTTTTGGGTCATTCATTTGTTGGCGCTTTCTGTGTTATTTTTAATTAATGTTAACTCGCATTTGAAGACGCTGTAAAATATAAATGATTTTGAAAAAGATATTAGAGATTATTAAATAAGTTTATTTAAANCATTTGAAGACACGGTGAAATATAAATGATTTTGAAAAAGATATTAGAGATTATTAAATAAGTTTATTTAAAATCGTTGGATGAGTTTTATATTATAGATCGAATAAAATGGACATTGATTGCTTAAATTTTTTTATATTTAATTGGATTTCTATTTTCGGAAGTTTTCTATTAAAATTTTGTGTCTATTTATGTTTAATTTAATAATCTTTTTATAAATAATATTTTTATTTATTTTCTATTTTGTACATCCCTAATCTATATGTTTTACGCCTATAATTTGCAATTTTTTTTAGGGAAATTGTACTTAAAAGTATCATTGATTAATTAGTTTGCAAAAAACAATGTAGATATTACAGAATTTAAAAATATTTATAAATTGTATGTTGTCCCCACTCTCTGCCCCTTAGAGGTAGCATTCGGGACAACTAGAAGCGCGTGGATAGTCGGCAGCCGTCCGTTTTATTGACCCAGCAAATTGGGTTTTCGGAAGCCGACGAGAATAGTCTCGAGAATACCGACGTTGGATTCATCCGCATTCATTTTATTCTAATCAAGCCACTTTCTTGTTTGTTTCTATACTCTTTAAACACGTTCATACCCATCAAATCTTACTGTTTTTTTGAGCAAGCATATTATTTATTTTGTGTATACATATTAATTTGCTGATTTATATTTTTTGAGATTCGTTATTAATTTAATAATTATGATAAATTAAGTTAATAAAATATGTCAATAAATTAAATTTAAATAGCATTATTGATGCATATATAAGTACCACTAAACGACTTATAAGATTATTAGCCAACGATTGTTCCAATTGGCAACGGCCATTCTTTAACGGGCTCAAGGCCTAAGTTAGAGCATGCACTAATGCTATTGATATATAAATTAGAGACATAATTTCAAGATACTTATAAGAATATGACTATTTGTTGATATTATAGTGCATTTAATGTTGAAACCTACTAATAACCTAATTTTTATAATTATTTTAGCTCTAAATTATGTCACACAATAGCATTACTTTCCCCTTAATTTTGGCTTTCAATTTGTGCCACAAATTCAGTTATGCCAACCACATAAATGTTAGTTAGCCTAATCCATAATACCGTTGACTTTGAACAACAATGCCTTATGATCAGTCTTGATGCTTAGATATTTTTTCCAAGTGTTTTGGGAGTCTAGGGGTATTTGTAATTTAATTTTTTCAGTAACAATTCTTGTAGGGGTAATAATCTGATAGTCGGAATTATTATGCTCTCAAATTATGTATTAATAACACTATGTATATTTATTATTGAGTAATGTTATTTAAACTTAAAAATTTAATCTTATTTGTTGACTTAATGATGTGGTTTCATTGGAACTATTGAATAAATATCAAGTTCTAATATTTGATGGGATCCACAATCAATCTAAATGTCGTAATGAATTAAGTCAACAAATAATGTCAAAATTTTAAATTCAAATAACATTGCTCTCTATTATTTGGGAGAATTATATTTAGACTCCTTAAAGTTTGTCACTTAATCACTCAGACCCCATGACATTAAAAATATTACACACAGACTACTGAGGTTTGTACGTGCGTACACACATAGACCCATGCCGTCAATGTCTCGTAGTAGAGGTGTTCACCCTACGGTAGAGTTGATGAGTGTTTCTATTAGAATGAATTAAGAAATGAAGATAATTATTGAATTAGCGAAATTTTAAGTTTTCATCTTTTAACACTTTATGGTTATAATATGAATTGTAATAACAAAAATTCTTCTAGAAAATTTCAAATGTAGTATTATCATTTTTTTAGTTCAATTTTATTTTTCTTTTCTTCCTTTCTCTCTAGTAGTTCTGTTTCTTTTTTTGTGGTCCAATGACACTTTAAATAGAATACTATATTATTTTGGCTTTTACATTTTACAATCTACATTATGTTGTGTTAGATTATGTTAGATTATTTAAAATGTTGTTGAATTATTTAAAATATTGGGTTTATTTACAATTTTGGATTATACTACTTGGGCTTGGGCTTAGGCGGGTACGGGAGAAGCGGGGACAGGGACGAGAATTAGAAATTTATCCGTGAACGGGAATAAAAATGAAAAATATACCCCTTAACAAGGGTGGACCGGAAATGGACGGAATTTTTTTGAACGAATACAGAGACGAAGACTACACCCTCCGCCCCGCTTCGGTCCATGAGATCCCTAGATATATTCATCCCCAACCGAAACATTTGACATATTCCCTTCAAATTCTCTCTCTTTACAGGATGAACGGACCTCGGCTTCTCCTTCAATGGTTACCAATCTTCTTACTTATACAGCTATTTCAAATCTCTAATGCTGATCTTGGCACTGCATCACAATACAGGCCACCATATACGCGTAAGTGCCATAGGAAAAAAAAACAAACAAACTGTTACAAGTTACAATTAGCTATAGTTTAGAAATTGACTCAGACATCTCGTCGTGTTTTTTGCAGCCACGGCCTGTTATGGTAACGATGCGTCTCAGTTCCCGACGAGCAACTTGTTTGCCGCTGCCGGTGAGGGGATATGGGACAATGGTGCTGCCTGTGGAAGGCAGTATTTGGTGAGGTGCATAAGTGCTGTTGTGCCCGGAACTTGCGTTCCAGGGCAAACCATTCAGGTTAGGATTGTTGATCATGCACTGACATCTGGTTCCAGGCCTTTCAGGGTTGGCACTACCATGGTCCTCTCTACGACGGCTTTCGGAACAATTGCAAAACCATCAGCATCATCAGTCAACATCGAATTTCAGCAGTAAGTGCCTTTACAAATGTATTTGATTTGTTAAAAAAAACAGTCAAGTGCATTAGGTTCCGTCTATTCTCAGAAGGGTCATATTACCGTCATACTCTAATGTATGCCTTACTAAAGTGCATCACCATGCATGCAACCATTTTGAAACCAGTAATATTATTTGAACATAATTTTTTGACATAATTTATTGATCTAATTTATTATAGTCTTTATATTGACTGTGAGGTCCATTAAATAATAGAATTTGATGCCGATCTAATAATTTCAGTGAAATTACATTATTAGCTCAATAAATTATGTCAAATTTTTAGGTCTCAATAGCATTACTCTTTTGAAACACAANGGTGCCGATCTAATAATTTCAATGAAATTACATTATTAGCTCAATAAATTATGTCAGATTTTTAAGTCTCAATAACATTACTCTTTTGAAACACAACGTATCCAATTGTTTGAGCCTTCTATCACTGACACNGATGCCGATCTAATAATTTCAGTGAAATTACATTATTAGCTCAATAAATTATGTCAAATTTTTAGGTCTCAATAGCATTACTCTTTTGAAACACAACGTATCCAATTGTTTGAGCCTTCTATCACTGACACTACTGCTAGGAATATAAGCACATATAACAAACATAGAATTACTCAAAAAAAAAACAATTAGCTCTCTGTATAGTCATGCCCACAAGCAATATAAACTACACCTCAGAGATTCTGTAGCTTTGTTTGGCGGTTCCTTATGGAAAATTTCAGCCTATTTACCCAGAAAAGACAAAAAATTCAGCCATTGATCCTTTAGTTCATTTTCCAAAAAAGAAAAAAAATCCTTTAGTTCAACCATTGATTTCTAGGAAGATGCAGGTGAAGTCTAAGTGTTTAGTTTATAATTTATTCATATGCCCAGATCCTCTAATAGGGTAGCGCGTTGTCAACTCTGAGAGCCAGAGGCCATTTTGTTATCTGATTGTAGCCCCATTCTATTTAGTTAATTAGCTAATTTTTTTCCTCATAAAATAGAAACTTTACGTATTTCGGGTGTTGAGAGATAAATGTAAGTGTTTAAATATACTAATACTTAAATTACACACATTTTAACAGTTAAATTCATTAAACGGTCGAAATAACGGTGTAATATAGAGCTAATGTAGAAGGTATTACATTCGAAATCTTGTTTACACGTGAGAACTCGTGTTAGCAGTTTCCACATCTAGAACACACAAAGGCTGTATTTATTCAACTTTATTTCATCAATATCACAGAATCTTAAGAGCTGCATCAGATCTAATATTTATTTTATCATATGGATATCTTAGCACTGACATAAGGAACTTTCTCATGTGCAGGGTTTGAACAGGAAATTAATTGGAAGCCATATAGTTAAATCGATCCGAGGGAGTTGACTGTTGTTTCTAGTACTTCAAATGAGAAATAGTTGAATATAGTGATTAGCATTGATTGAATGTTCAATAAAGTTCTTTGTCCGTGGTCTCTATCTTAATCAATACAACTTGTTACCTAATGTTAAAGAAGCTAACTCGTGAGTTTTCTATGATATAACTTCGTTGCTTGGATAGATCAACGCACCTGCAACCTTTATGCGACTGATGAATGATGTTCTTAGGCAATATTTCAATTGGATGTATTTGTCATTGTCTATGGCGACGACATTTGGTTTATAGCAAGACCTGGGAGGAACATTTGAAATGCATAGAGACTATCTAGAAGTTTTGTATCAATAATAGAAATATTGTTGTTCATTTTTGCAAGTGAATAGACGATATTTTAGATTATTCAACCCAAAATTTATTGGTTCAAACAGCCTGTTTAAATAAATTGTTTTAAAAAAAAATGGAATGACGTTCCTTCCAATCCAAATCAAAATTAATATATAACTAATCAAAAGGCTATTTAGAGGGTAGGTGTGCATAGCTTTGCAAAAAAACTATCTACAGCAGCAGATCCGTTGTTCTTCAAAACAAAACCTTTTACAGAATTTTTTTTTATCTGAACCTTATATCATTTACAGAAAAAAATAACGTTATTTTATGTATAAAAAGGTGATATTTTAGGAATGACATCCCGTACTGTACAACAAAGGAGTCAGACCCATCTATGAGTGCCTCATTCACGGAGTGGCTTGAACGGTGCGGTAATGTGATTGATAGAAGGCCATGGAAGTTATCATGGTTGGTTCGGTTGCCTTGAAACAGACACCTATTTAACAGCATTGGTTTTGCCAATTCAAAGGCTGAATTTTCTGCACTGATTGCGTTGACAAATGGTCATGTCGATTTGGATATGTTTCAATAGATATTTCTCTAAATTTTCGTTTGTCATAGACCACTCGTGCATTGATGTGGAAGATTCACTTATCTACATTTGATTTCACTTAAATTGATGATAAATGATTTATTATTAAGTAAAAATATATTGAAGGGTCCAAATGACTAATTAATTTTCAAAGAAACTTGTGTTCTTCTGGAGTTTCCGATGTGTTTTTGATTTGGGAGCAATGATAATTGCAAAGTGAGAGGGGCTTGTGGGTTCTAGAGGGACAGTGAGACTCCGGTCTAAATTCCCAATTTTTACATTAATCTTAAATCAGCTTAATTTATTGANATAATTTTCAAAGAAACTTGTGTTCTTCTGGAGTTTCCGATGTGTTTTTGATTTGGGAGCAATGATGATTGCAAAGTGAGAGGGGCTTGTGGGTTCTAGAGGGACAGTGAGACTCCGGTCTAAATTCCCAATTTTTACATTAATCTTAAATCAGCTTAATTTATTGATGTAATTTATTAATTTTATTTCTTGTTGATCTTAGATTAGTAGTGGACCCAGCAAATATTACCCCACTACTAATCTATTGATACAAATGAGCCCATTAGGCACCATTAAAATCACTTTTTTAGGGTTAATTTTAATTTGTATCTCAAAAGATTACTCGAATCTTAATTTATACCTTTAAAATTTAAAAATATTAATTTGTACCCTGAAAGATATAAATTTATATCAATGTGCACTTAGAGCNAGCAAATATTACCCCACTACTAATCTATTGATACAAATGAGCCCATTAGGCACCATTAAAATCACTTTTTTTAGGGTTAATTTTAATTTGTATCTCAAAAGATTACTCGAATTTTAATTTATACCCTTAAAATTTAAAAATATTAATTTGTACCCTGAAAGATATAAATTTATATCAATGTGCACTTAGAGCTAACTATTGTCCATTTTGTCGTTAAAAAAGTTTGGGCTAATTATAAATTACACTCTCAAAGTTTAAATATTTCACATTTATGCTCCAAAAAGAATTACATCTATTAATACTCGTTAAATAGCTTTTAATTGTGTTGTGTCGTGTCGTGTTTAGAATGATGGAAAAAAAGTGGAAAAATTGAAGGATGAAAAATTAGAATGATGGAAAGTTGGAATGATAGATAAAATATAATGTTTGGTAAGGAAATANAACTTTTAATTGTGTCGTGTCGTGTCGTGCTTAGAATGATGGAAAAAAAGTGGAAAAATTGAAAGATGAAAAGTTAGAATGATGGAAAGTTGGAATGATAGATAAAATATAATGTTTGGTAAGGAAATAAAATAGGAAGAATGTAAAAGTGGATGAATTAACTTTTATTCTAACTCACTAAATTCAATCCCTCAAAAATTAAAAGAAAAAGTAGATGAAAAATTAATTGTGTGTGAAAATATATGTTATTTGTCTACGTATCATTTGATATATACATATATCATATTTATTAATTATNCTCTCAAAAATTAAAAGGAAAAGTAGATGAAAAATTAATTGTGTGTGAAAATATATGTTATTTGTCTACGTATCATTTGATATATACATATATCATATTTTTTAATTATATATTATATATATATTAATTTTACATATAAATATAATGGTAAAATATGTATTTACATTTTTTCTAATAAAAAAAAATACTAAGATTAATNCCCTCAAAAATTAAAAGAAAAAGTAGATGAAAAATTAATTGTGTGTGAAAATATATGTTATTTGTCTACGTATCATTTGATATATACATATATCATATTTATCAATTATATATTATATATATATATTAATTTTACATATAAATATAATGGTAAAATATGTATTTACATTTTTTCTAATAAAAAAAAATACTAAGATTAATATTAAAAATTAAAAAATACTTTTTCCATCTTATCAAATACAAAAAAAAAAAATAAAAATTCAATCATTCTTACTTTCTATCACTCTTACCAAACACAAAAACGGAAAAAAAAAAGATTCCTCATTGAAGGATGAAAAGTGTATCACTCTCAATCACTCTCACTTTTTATCATTCTATTTTTTCATTCATCCAATCCTATCAAACTGACCATTAGTAAATGCTATGGAGCTCGCAACCCATTCTTTATGATATAGGGGGAGGGGTTCAATCTTATTTACCCAACTTAGGATAAAAGTTAGGTTAACGTCAAAACTATCTAGAATGCTATGAAAAGTACTAAGTTATTGATCCTCATANATAAAAATTCAATCATTCTTACTTTCTATCACTCTAACCAAACACAAAAACGGAAAAAAAAGATTCCTCATTGATGAAAAGTGTATTACTCTCAATCACTCTCACTTTTTATCATTCTATTTTTTCATTCATCCAATCCTATCAAACTGACCATTAGTAAATGTTATGGAGCTCGCAACCCATTCTTTATGATATAGGGGGAGGGGTTCAATCTTATTTACCCAACTTAGGATAAAAGTTAGTTTAACGTCAAAACTATCTAGAATGCTATGAAAAGTACTAAGTTATTGATCCTCATATTCAACTAACCTCTATAAATAGTAATGTTTTTCATATTTAGCATTGCATTGGCCAGTTAATTTCCACTGAGGAGTTGGATATCATAAGTAATGGTAATGTTAAAATATTTCAGTATAGTTATGTCATGCAATGAGCTCAGAATAATAATTTCAATTGAGTAAACAAATATAAACCCTGCACATGCATCTCTCCTAGGATGACAACTTCGGCACAACACGTAAACTTGACACAAATATGAAATAAATTAGTGAGTTAAGATATTTGACTAATTTTCGACACAAATTCAAAAATTAAATGATCAACTAACACAAATAATAAAGAAGTCAGATTAATAGTAAACATAAATAACCGATTTTAACATGAAAAAAAATCTGTTTAACTGTTATTGTTTGAAAAATATCTTTTTTTTTTTAAAGTGGTACTGTTTAAATTCTTCTACAATTTTTGGAAATTTTTACTTAATTTTGCTAGCACCAGAATAAAGTGGATTTTTTTTTTCAATTTGTGGGAGATGTACGAGTGAGGTTTAATTGAAAGAAAAAAAAAAGTCACAATCTTATATTATTTTAGGTTCATATAGGTTCTTATGTGTCAATTACAACAGGACACGATTAATCAACCCGGCAAGTTGGAATAAGCTCATTTGACATAATTAATAGAATCTACTAAAAGTAATTTAGTTAATTTTCTTCTTCTAGTGTAAGGAAATTCTTTTTGTCCGAATGATTTGATAACTATCACATAGTTTGGAATCAAATTATATACTACAAAAAAAAGGCTATTAGTGGTGACATTTGTTTTGTTACTAATTCATTGCATTTAGTGGCGACTATGTTATCTTGCCACATAAACATACCGTTTTGTGGTGATTATTAACTTTGTCACTAATTATGCAAACTTAGGTGTGATTTATGACAAACTTAACTTTGTCACTAAAAATTTTGTTGTATATAGTAGGGCGGTAACTTTTTTGCTAGAAATAGTTTAATGGCGTAGTCAGAAAAAGCACCACAAAATCTTGTCCAACTAATGGGGACAAAAAATTCGCCACTTGATATTATTTTTCTTGCCACTAAACTTTCAAAAGTAGTGGCAATGCAGTTTTGCCATTGATTTCAGTGATTAGTGGCTACATATTAATTGTTGCCACGAATTTTTTAATTTATTGATAAAATATAATTTCTTCACAATTAGACTATTTATGTGACAATATTAATTTTGCCACAAATATTCAGCCTTTTAATTTTAAAAATTAAATAATGAAAATCTGTTGGACATTTGTTGTGTATCCTACTTCCTTGATTTGGTTGGTCACTATTGCATCTCTAATCTTTCTCTATTTGTCAATTTTTGGTCAAATCATTTAATCATGTTGAAAGTTTCTAAAAATTTTATTTTTAAATTATACGACCTATTGCAAACCATGTGATATTTAGGTCCTAATATGTCTCTTTGTTTATCTCTATTTACTTTGAATTGTATCGTCCTTAAAACATTCTATTTGGGATTAGGACTATCAATGGATGAGAAGTGAATAATTCATATTTCATTTAAAAATTTCAATCTAAAATACATTAGACTATCCAACAAATTTTATTTTCACGTACAATAATATCCAGCTTTGGTTAAATCAAAAAATCCAATTTGACTATCCAATCCGATGTAAATAATTGTATTTCAATTAGTTTAACAATTT